TTTTTTTTTTTTTTGGGATGAAGTCTCACTCTGTTGCCCAGGCTGAAGTACAACGGTTTGATCTTGGCTCACTGCAACCTCCGCCTCCTGGGTTCAAGTGATTCTCCTGCCTCAGCCTCTTGAGTAGCTGGGATTACAGGCGTATGCCACCATGCCCAGCTAATTTTTGTATTTTTAGTAGAGAGGGGGTTTCACCATGTTGGCCAGGCTGGTCTCAAACTCCTCACCTCAAGGGATCCGCCCACCTCGGCATCCCAAAGTGCTGGGATTACAGGCGTGAACCACAACACTGAGCCCTAGACTTTTCACACAAGATGTTCTAAGCCACTCACATTAGTTTTTTGTGTGTCTTTTGAGTATATCACTGCATATTTATTGCCAATAAATTTCTACATTGTTAAAAGATATATTACCTGTTGTCAATAATCATTACACTGGAGAGTGGAATCCCCAAAACATCACAGCTCTGCAAAAGTTCTTTCTTACGAGTCTCTCCTTGATTGTAGTAATTTCCTGAGGATAACAAATATACAGTGGCAGATTTTTTTAACAGTGGAGAACTATCTATTCACTCATTCTCATCCTGTTTTTGTTCCTTGAAGGATTTAAGCTGCCTGAAAATGTGTGATTATGATACAAAGTTTAAGAAAACACAACACCAAGATACTCCTGTGAGAAGAATACCAGTAGCACAATCTTTAGAACCACCATTCACAATTCTTTCCCATCTTTGTATTTATCTACCTATCTTTCTGACTGCATTTCAGTCACATGCTAGAGGCAGCATGGTACACAGCCAAGGGTACTAACTTTGAAGTTAAGCAGATTTAGGATCAACCCATGTATGACCACTGAGAACAACTGGGGCCCCCTCTTCATTGACAGCCCTCAAATAACTGTTTAACATTGATTTAAGGATGAAGCTTTCCAAGCTCATTCTTGTTGGTATAGAAAAAGAAAACAGAGGCTGCTACTCTTGAGTATTACAGGAAAATGTGCAGATACACGGAAAGCATCCTCTTTTGAAGAGTTTCACAGCCAGCTATCCAGCATACCCCAAGGGGATCTTGATCCCATTGGCACCCCAAACAACACATATTCTTTATTTTCCCAAAACATATACTATATTCCCTAAAAATAGTTCTGGTAAATAAAACTCTTCTGTATTCTTACAAATAATACGGTGACATTTTGGTGTCACCTAAGTTGGACTCATTTTGAGCAACTGTCCAGCTAATGCACCTCTTAATTCAACTCTCCGATAAATAATTGCAGGTCTGATTTGTGCAAGTTACTTAACTTTCTTGAGCTACAGTTTCTTCACCAGTTAAGTGGGGATAATGGCTATTTCTTTTTTTTTTTAGAGTCTTGCTCTGTTGCCCCAGCTGGAATACAGCGATCTCAGCTCGCTGCAACCTCTGCCTCCAGAGTTCAAGCGATTCTCCTGCCTCAGCTCAGTAGTTGGGATTACAGGCACCCGCCACCACGCCTGGCTGATTTTTGTATTTTTAATTGAGATGGGGTTTCACCATGTTGCCCAGACTGGTCTCGAACTCCTGACCTTGTGCTCCACCTGCCTCAGCCTCCCAAAGTGCTGGGATTACAAGTGTGAGCCACTGCACCTGGCAAACAGGCTTAGTTTTGTATTGTCCTCATCATACCTTTTTTCTTGTT